GTTCAACAAATAGCATGAAGAAAAAAAAAAACAATTGCTGTTCCTCAATAGAAGAGACATGGACTATAAGGAATGATTGAATCTCAAAATGTCCATTTCACTCCACTACGTTATTTTAGGTATTCTGTGAGTTATTTCAGATCAAGATAAACATATGGTATCTGTCTTTTTGGACTGGCTTGTTTCACCAACTATAATGGTTTCTAGTTGCATCTATTTTGTAGCAAAAGACAGGATTTCTTTTTTTTTATAGCTGAGTATATATATATATATATATTATAATTTCTTTATCCAGCTAACATCTGATGGACATCTGGGTTTATTCCATATCTTAGCTATTGTGAACTGCAATGAATATGAGTACCCAATAACTGTTTCATATGCTGATTTGTTTTGGTTTGGGTAAATTCCCAGGAGGATGGCTGGATCACATGGTAGGTCTATATTCAGATTTCTGAAATATCTCTATACTGTATTCCATAGGGACTGCACCAGTTTACATTCCCACCAACAGTGGATGAGGGTACTTTTTCCCTACATCCTTGCCAGCATTTATATTTTGTTGATTTCTTTATGGCAGCCATTCTAACTGGGGTGAAGCGAAACCTCACTGGGATTTGGATTTGCACTTCCCTGATGTCTAGTGATCCTGAGCATTTTCTCAAGTGTCAATTTGAATTTCCTCTGTTGAACAATGTGTGTTCAATTCCTTTGCCCATTCCTTAACTGGATTGCTGATTTTGTTGTTGAATTTCTTGAACAGTGTGTGCCTTTCAATTATGTAAATCAGCTCTGGATAAGGGGTCATGAGCATCAGAAGGTCTCCTCTTATCACCAGGCCCCTGCCTTTGCAGGGCCATTCTAGTCTTGTTGCTGATTCTTGATCTAGTGGAGCTCTGTGTCAGAGAATGGTAAAAGATTTGGGGCTGTTGAGGAGACAAGCTCACAGAAGAGTGACAAACCCACTGGGGTTAGAGATTTTGGGCTCCTGATGCCCTGCTCTAGCAAGGGTATATTCTGGTCCTGGGGCCTCTCAGGGCTGACCAGCTGACTCAGTGATGGGGTTAAGGCCGAAGTTGTGAGCGGGGCCTATCCTCATGTGCCCTTTTCATTACTTCCTAGCCTGGAGGAGCAATTCTTCCTCACCCACAAAACTTGTAGTGTGAGGAAATATTTTAAAGTCTAAAGTTCAACATTTTCAGTCTATAAATTTTCCATTTTCTCCCCTGCACTCGCATGGGAGACTGGGAGGAAGCACCTGGCTCCTGGCTTCAGATCAGAAGTTCTGGACGTAGTAGCCATTTGGGGGGTGAATCAACAGAAGAAAGACCTTTCTCTCTGTCTCTCCTTCTCACTGTCTATAACTCTATCTGCCAAATAAATACAAAAAATAATTTCCCATAAAGAAATTATGGGATATGTACTCTTTAGAATACTATACCGCAGTAAGAAACAACGAAATCCAGTCATTTGCAACAAAATGGAGGAATCTGGAACACATCATGCTGAGTGAAATAAGCCAGTCCCAAAGGGACAAATACCATATGTTCTCCCTGATTGGTGACGACTGACTGAACACCAAGAGGGAAACCTGTTGGAGTGAGGTGGACACTATGGGAAATGGTGGCTTGATCAGCATAGCCCTGACTGTTAATGAACAACTTAATACATTATCCCTCTTAGTAGTTTTTTTATCTGTTCTACTTAATATGACTGGTTTAGATCTGTAATTGATGCACAGTTATTCTTAAGTGTTGAAAATTAACTGAAATGTGATCCCTGTTGAACATGGTGGTGGGAATGGGAGAGGGAAGAGATGTATAATTTGGGACATGCTCAGGCTGACTTGCCCCAAGTGGTGGAGTTGGAAGCATACCAGGGGATTCCAATTCAATCCCATCGAGGTGGCATGTACCAATGCCATCTCACTGTTCCAGGTAATCAGTTTCAGTTCACAGTTGGTCATGGTGAAGGGACTGGGAGTCAAAGGGAGCACATAGACAAGTCTAGTACCTGCTAACGCTAACTGATGGAGTAAATAAAGGGGAGAGTGATCCAACATGGGAAGTGAGATACTCAGCAGACTCATAGAATGGCAGATGTCCTAAATAGCACTCTGGCCTCAGAATCAGCCCTAAAGGCATTCGGAGCTGGCTGAAGAGCTCATGAGAGTATTTCAGGCATGGAAAGCCAAGACGCTCTGGCAAAAGATCTCTGCGAGTGAGATCCCAGTGAAAAGAACAGGTCATCAAAGAAGGAGGTACCTTTCTCTGAAGGGAGGAGAGAACCTCCACTTTGACTATGACCTTGTCTAAACAAGATAAGAGTCGGAAAACTCAGAGGGCTTCCATAGCCTTGGAAACTCATGACTGGAGCATAGGGAGATTACTGATGCCATAGACAGGAGTGTCAATTGGTAAAGTCAACAACAGGAGTCACTGTGCACTTACTCCTCATGTAGGATCTCTATCCTTAATGTGCTGTGCATTGAGATTTAATGCTATAACGAGTACTCAAACAATATATTTCACTTTGTGTTTCTATGGGGGTGCAAACTGTTGAAATCCTTACTTAATGCATACTAAACTGATCCTCTGTAAAAAAAAAAAAAAAAAAGAAATTATCAATTCCCAACTTGACTCTCACTGGGATTAAACATGACAATAGGTCTGCTCTGATTTCATCATCATTTAAAAAAAATCATCTATTATTTTTCACTTTATGTTTCTGTGTGGGAGCAAACTGTTGAAATCCATACTTAATGTATACTAAGCTGATCTTCTGTATATTAAGATAATCGAAAATGAATCTTGATGTGAATGGAAGGGGAGAGGGAGTGGGAAAGGGGAGGGTTGTGGGTGGGAGGGACGGTATGGGGGGGAAGCCATTGTAATCCATAAGTCGTACTTTGGAAAATTATATGCATTAAATAAAAGTTTAAAAAAAATTAATTTCTATTTTCTGTGCAATCCCTCATTCTGACAGTCCACTGAACATGATGGGATTTGCTCCCAACTTCTAGGCATTTTATAGTGTAAGTCCAGTTATAATGTGGTGTTCAAATGTGGATCATCATTTCATATTTCCTAATGAACACTGCAGTCAGGATGTGCTACAAGAAAGATCATCTGCTTCTAGATCAATGAGGTGTAACCAAAGGCCTTCAAACTCTGGGAGGTTGCAGCCCTGTCTACTCTCTCTGGCATGAGACTTGCCTCCATGCATTCTATAATTCTTTCTCAGAGTTTTTAACATCTCAAAGGCATTTCAAAATATTTTTTGATAGGCAGCATGACAGAGAGAGAGAGAGAGAGAGAGAGAGAGAGAGAGAGATCTTCTACCTGTTGATTCAATACCCAAGTCACCAGAACAGGTGGGATTGAGTCGTGCAGAATTCATGAAACTAGAGCCTCATATAGGACTTCTACTTGAATGACAGAGACTCAAGCACCTGAGATATAATCCATTACTTCCTGGGCACATTCACTGGAACCTGGAATGTAGCCAGGATTTGAATGACACTCTAATATGGGGGGGGGGTGTGCCATAATCAGCACCTTAATCTGCTGTACCATAATACCTGCTCCCTGATCTTTTAACAGGTACACAGATACATCAAAATTTTGCCAAAATCAAACTATAAATCTTGCTGACCTGAAGCTAGGTCATATAAATATGACTACTTTCACATATTTGGTTATCCCAGTCTCTGTAATTTAAAAATAAAGATCCAATTGGGCACTTGCACTTGGCTTTCAGTAGCCAGGAACTGAAAAGGTTGAAGTCAGAAATAAGCTCTGAGATAGAACAACTCAAGAGGACAGCCTCCCTATGAGTTTGCCTTATTGAAAAGAGGAAGAGGGTGGTTTCTCATTCCTCATGGGGTTCAAGAAGATGAATGTCTCCATAAGGACTTTTTTTCTGAATCCACTGTTTGGGAAAATGACAAACCAGATACACAAAATGCAATCACAAAAGTTGGGCAACTTACATAGAGACAGAATAATGATGGAGGTCAAAAATTTAGAGCTGGGTTATGAGAAAGTCAAAGTTTACCATGGCCCATTAAGGTGTACTGGGAAAGGAACAGAGGGAAAGTGTTTCATCTAGCCTGAAATCCAGCCTGATCAAAAAAGAAGGAAGGAAAAAATGCCAGACATCCCTGAAAACTTCTCAAACCACAGGCAGTAACAAGGATCTTGATGTCTTGGAGGGAGTCAAACCATTGATTTGTCGTGGGCTAAATCTGCCAAAGGGATGCTAACCTACTTGTGCCATACACCTCAGATTGGCTAGTCAAACTTCATGCTAGAGCATTGCTTGATCTAGGTGGTGGGGGTCTTCAGATTCCAGAAGCCAGGCATTATATGGACATTTCTAGACCACTTATAGCCACACAATGAGGGTCAGTGGCACTTATTTCTACCAAGATATCATACAAGCAAATATACTCAGTGCAGCCACTGAGCATCTTGAGGGGCAAGGAGGACCAGTGGCAACATTTCCAAGGCTGGAGCCACCTCAGTGAGGCCAGAACCTCAAATTACAGTAGAATAAATGAGCTAGGCTAGCCTCTCTGCCACTGTCCTCTGCACTGTTCATGAGAAAATGGGGAGTTAAAAGACCAGGAACTCTGAAGGGTGAGGTCCAACTGGGCCACAAAATTTACCCAGTCAAAATTTTGGTCTCATTTTCCAGTGTGTTCTAAGGAATGCACCAAAAATTGTGAAGTAAAGGAAGATGTTGCAAATAAGATAACCCAATTTGAACCAGGAGCCAGAAGCCTCTTCTAGGTCTCCCATTTGGGTGCAGGAGCCCAAGGACTTGGGCCACCTCCACTGCTTTCCCATAGCAGAGAGCTGGATACAAAGTGGAGCAGTCAGGACTAGAACTGGTGCCCATATGGGATGCCAATGCTCCAGGCCAGGGCGTTAACCCACTGCACCACAGCACTGGCCCCAGTACTTTTTGATTCATCTACTCAGACTTTTCTTCTTCAGTAGGATGTGGGCCATTCCAAGGTGGTTGCTGGATTCATGTCTTCCTGCAATGTGACTGAAAAGCTGAAGACAAATTTGGAGATCATCAGGTCTAAACATTGAAGAGTCAGAATAAAAATTTTTGATCTGCCCAGAGTATCAGCCAGTGAAAGCACCCTGGTGTTATCTACCCTTCTGTATTGTAAGTTTGCAGGGGAACCTGAAACCTCAGAATTAGTGTAGCTTTTCTTTAAGATAGAGTCTCAACTCCACCCAATGCACTGTGTGGCAAAATCCCAAATTCCATTTTTTGGTCCACTAGATGAATTCTTATGCTGATGGAAATAATAATAAAGAAGCCAGTATCTCATTAAGAATGCTATACCTTTGGTTGTACCTGGCTAGAGGGCCAGATTCTAGAAGTTCCTGGCAGACATGGGCAGCTGCAATTGGCTGGAAATGGCCTGCCTGGAAGTTTTTTTCTCTATTTGCTGCCAGTAAAGATTAAGCTACCCCCTGCAATGCCATAATCTCATATGGGCATCTGGTTTACATCTCAGACTATTCCACATCTGATGCAGCTCCCTGCTAATTTGCTCAGGAAAGCTGGAAGATGGCCTAAGTACTTATGCCTTTGCACCCATGGGGGAAATGTGGATGAAGCTCTGGCTCCTGATTCAGCCTGACTCAGCCCTGAATGTTGCAGCCATTTGGGGAGTGAAATACTAGATGGAAAATCTGTCTCTCCTCCCGCCTCTTCACCTCTCTCTCTCTTTCCATCTCTCTGTAACTATGCCTTCAACACAAATGAATTGATACACACAGAGAGGTACTCCATGGGTCCAATTCACAGATGGCTGCAATGGCTGGTGTAGGCTGGGCCAGGCCACAATCAGGAAGCAGGAGTTTCCTTCAGGTCTCCCACATGGATGCAGGGGTGCAAGCACTTGGGCCATCCTCTGCTACTTTCTCAGGCACATTACCAGGGAGCTGGATCAAAACTAAAGCAGCCAGGACTCAAACCAGGGCCCATATAGGATGCCAGCATTGCAGGTGGCTGTTGAAGGCACTATGCCACGATACTGACGCTACTAAAATAAATCTTTATGATGAAAAAACAACAGTCCATACTCATCCTTCTCATGAATGAATGAATGAATATATCAATTTCATATTTTATGAATTTCCTTAGGCAATGATTATGTTGTTTATTTTATGCATGTGTGTGCATAGATTTAATATAGTAACATATTACATCACCTTGTGAAAAAATCATAGATGTAATGAACATTGCAGAACCTATACAAGTAAAATTCATAAGTCTGAGGTACTTCACCATAGAAAATAAAGAGCATGAATACAGATTTGTATATAAATTTGTACCTAAACACATACATTCTTGTGAAATAAATTATATGAATATGGACCAATTAATGTATCTTCCAAATATAATAGAAAGAAAATATACTCATATCTACAAAATGCATGACCACTATACAAAAAAACCCCAAAACCTAGTATGAACAAACCAAATCTGAAACAAACATGTTTGTTTTGGAGAGGGGCCAGAGAAGCCTCTCGTTCTCTACTCAGAGTCACATTTCCAGAGAAAAGGAGCCTTTGCTGTCTATTGCAGGTGACTTATGACTGAGAGAAACAACTAGAGCCTGGCCTTTAACCAGGCCTACTACAGATACAAAATTCCCAGTGAGATACTGGCATCCTTTATACAGAGTTGCTCCAGGATAAGAACTCATGTTTTAAATAATAAGATTTGGAGTGTGCCTTGGCAATGCTGAGAGTAGGATTCAGGCTCTGCCTAGAGGAGAACTATAGCCAACTCTGGGATCTCAGACAGCCCTGAGAACAGTAAGAAAATACAGAAAGGAAGAGAGCTTCAGAATGGGGGGAAATGTTGCCAGCATTTAAAGCAGCACCTATGGCCTTCTGAAAATATCCTAAAGCCAGACTAAAGAACCCTGACTCTGGGACTTCACATTCTTGGTCTGATAATTTCTATCCATGTCCACAAGGAGGCAGACATTTCTCTTTTGGTGGTCTGTTGTCTGCTCGTTATCTAGACTCCACAAAGCTGGGGATCAAGCATCCTTGAGGGCTCATTTTTTCAGGTGCCTTCCAGGTGGAGAATAGATCAGATATCTTTGTGTTTAGCAAGACTTGTGATGGAGCAACAACAATTGGTCAAAATTAGAGTGTTAGCCCCACCCCCATTTCAAGGCAGTTGGATGAGGAGTATATTTAATGAGAGATCCCGTATTTCTGACCATGCATTTCATTCCTGTGTTTGAGGTGTAGTGTGAGGATGTTTTTGTGATGTTTAAAGCAAAGAACATGCTGCAATGCATGCTCAAGGCAGAGGACTCAAGCCCATCTGAGCACTTGGGCTTTTAGCCCTAGGAAGATTTCAGACAATATTCAGGAGTTTAGCAATAGTGAGTGATCTTTATGTGGTTTTCTTGGGTAATTAAACTCACAAATAATCAATTGTAAATTAAGAAGTAACAATGACACACATATGTAGGTATATGTTTGTTAAAATGTATAAATAAAGATAACAAATGTACACATTACAATGAAAATACCTGGAGAGTCTATGAAATGCATGTTTATTCAAACATATTTCTCACTAGATGATTCACCATAACATGGAAGACACTCATAAGTTCACTCCATTATGTATGGATAGACTTACACATATACTGATATATCTTACTTTCAAGTGACTTATATAGACATGAATAATTATTAAATCTCCCAAACAGGAGTATATAAACACATGTATATATAACTCTACAGCATGTGCATATAAATATTATCAGTAAAAATGCAACACCTGACACAAACACAGTGGTTCATTCAGACAGGGGCTGCTGAGGTTCTAATGGAAAGCTTACCCTCTTATGAAAATTTCCAATGGAAAAATGATCAGAGTCTTGTTGCTTTCAGTCTTTAAGAACTAACAGTAGGCTCAAGTCCTGGCACAGCACTAGGCACAAAGTAATACCTTTCCAATGCTAGTCCCCAGAATCAAAAACAAACATTTTTAAAACACTGTTTTTATGTGTATTTATTTTTCATCTACTTGAAAGAGAGAGAAAGTGAGTGAGTGAGTGAGAGAGAGAGATCATCCATCTGCTAGTTCACTCTACAAAACTTGCAACACCTGGGGGTAGACAAGTCCAAAATCAAAAGCCAGGGATGGGGCTGGTGCTGTGGCTCAGTGGGTTAATGCCCTGGCCTGAAGCCCTGGCATCTTGTGTAGGCACCAGTTCAAGACCCAGCTGCTCCTCTTCCAATTCAGCTCTCTGCTAAGGCCTGGGAAAGCTGTGGAGGATGGCCCAAGTCCTTGGGTCCCTGCACCCAAGTGGGAGACCTGGAAGAAGCTCCTGGCTCCTGGCTCCTGTCTTTGGATCAGCACAGCTCTGTCCATTGCGGCCATCTGGGGAATGTACCAGGAGATGGAAGACCTCTCTCTCTCACTCTCACTCTCTGCCTCTCCTCTCTCTGTGTAACTCTGACTTTCAAATAAATAAATATTTTTTAAAAAGCCAGGGACTCCATTTGGGTCTTCTAGGTGGGCAGCAGCGGTCCAATAACTTAGGTCCATTATCTGGTGTCCTCCCAGGCATGTCAGTAGGAAGCTGGGTAAGAACCAGATTGGCTGGTACTCAAAGTGGCACTCCAATACGGGATGCTGGCATCCTAACCATTGTCTTTTTTTCTTATTGTTGTCAAGGTGGCAAAGGATGATGAAACAGTGTTCAGCATTCTGCAGATTATATGGTCTAAACACAGCATGGACATCAGTGGGTGCAGCTTCCCTCATCTCTACAGCCATGTGTTCACAGTAACAAATAAGGTACAGTCAGAAGATAGGCCTGGAACCCTAAGACTGCTGTAGAAAAGGATGGTCATAACCTGACTTCCTGTGGTCTCTCCAGGAGGTGAGACCTCCTGTTCTCTTCTCTGGAGCTTCCAAATACCAGTTGTCATGTTTTTGTATCTTAATGTATTTATCTGTTAAATGGATAGAAGAAAACTCAATTCAATGTGACTTCACTAGTCACTCAAAAATTTTCACATTATCCCACTTTTTTTGTTATGTACTAACCACATGACCAAAAGTAAGGAAACGATATTTGCCATAAACTTCATGAATTTTAAAAATTTTGAGAATGAAGGGTATCCATTTTGCTTAATAGTTAAGATACTTCCAACCTAACCATAGTGACTGGGTTTGATATACCTGACTTCAGTTTCCTGCACACCCAGGGAGGCAGCCATTATGGATTAAGTAATTGGGTTCTGGGCATCAATGTGTGTTCCAGGCTCCCAGCTTTGGTATTGGCTCAGTCCTAATGATTGCAGACATTTGGGGATTGATCTAGTGAATGGGAGCTCTTTTTCTCTCTGTGTAATTGTCTCTCTCTGTCTCAAATAAGTTTAAACTATATTATAATTGTAATAAACACTAATTACCAAGGGGCAAACAGGTTTGCTGGAAACAGGAAGGAAAGTTAAATTATTTTAAGAATTTATCAAAATGTTCCATTAAATCCTAAATAAAACTTTTACTGATTTAAAACTTGAACACAAACACATGATTCCTTCTTGTTGCCTACTCTAACCCCTCTTTTCTCCTCCATCAATGCTATGCGGCCCTCTTCCAGCACTTTTACTGTGTTTATTGAGCCCACTGAGGAAGGTGCTGCCTCCACAGGGCACTGAATTTCTCTCACTCAGCTGTCTCCTGTGCTCACAGCACACAGCCCACTACAGTCACTGCCACAGTTAATAGAGGATGATTTCCTCACCAAGACGATGGGATAGAAAAGAAAAATGCCAGTCTCTCATGTTCCTTTTCTGCAAAAACATTCTTAATGGAGAATGAAGTGTTAGTGAAAATGTGGGGAATGTTGGCCGGCACCGCAGCTCACTTGGCTAATCCTCTGCCTGTGGCATCAGCAGCCTGGGTTCTAGTCCCGATTGGGGCGCCAGATTCTGTCCCAGTTGCTCCTCTTCCAGTCCATCTCTCTGCTGTGACCCAGGAGTGCAGTGGAGGATGGCCCAAGTGCTGGGGCCCTGCACCCGTATGGGAGACCAGGAGGAAGCACCTGGCTCCTGGCTTCAGATTGGTGCGTTATGCTGGCCGCAGCACACTGGCCCTAGTGGCCATTTGGGGGGTGAACCAATGGAAAAGGAAGACCTTTCTCTCTGTCTCTTTCTGTCTCACTATCTAACTCTGCCTGTCAAAAAAAAAAAAGTGGGGAACGTTATACATACTTGATTCTTTTCTGCACTGCTATATACACTTACCAGAGTCTTAGTGAAGTAAAATTGGAATTAATATTTCCTGGGTGTACTTGAAAGTCTTCAGCCAAGATAAGGAAACTGTCCATTTACTGACAAATGGAAGTCCCATTCATAAGACACTGCAATTGCATTGTTATGAACTCACCAGAGTCCTCTAGGGTTTCCTGTGTTCTCATGAAAAGACATTCTGATAACTACACAGAAAAGATTGGGGGAAGAGAAAAGAGACATGGGCTTGCAGTGTTTCTCAATACTCCTAGACACACCAGTCATGGATTGCCCAACATCCTCCTGGGAATGACCTGTTACCAACCATGCCCACATGCAATCTCAGAGTGACATAAGACCATAGGCAGAGTCATATTTTTAGGGTAAGGCACAAGAGGACTTAGATACAGCATCTCACAAGAAAAATAAAACTACACTCATTCTAATTATGATAAAGGCAAATGATATTAACTTTACCATCTTTAACATTTATATATTCAGTTTGGTAGTGCACACAGAAACACATTGTTGTGCAATGAATCTGTAGTATATCTTCTTGTCATTGAACAATAAATCCTTCCTGACATCCATAACCACATTTCTGCTTTCTAGCATTTTGACTTCTTTAAATACTTTATTTGGGTGGCGTCTTACAATATTTTTTCTTTGCTTGGCTTATTTGCTTATTTCAATGTCTTAAAAGTTCATCCATGTCAAGGAATTTCTTCTTTCCTATGGCTGCAATAAATCCCACTGTGTGCATGTTTTCTTCACAAGTTTATCATTAGAGGGACATTTCTTCCAAATCTAGGTTGTAGTGAATTATTCTATGATGAGTAATAGTCAATGTAAAGATTGACATATTAGAAGGGGAATCAGATAGCAATGGAATAACTAGAAAGAGATGTCAAATCATAATTTCCAAGAAAAGACAGAACTACCAGACAGAAAATCAGTAAGGAATAGTGTTGGCATTGCCTAAAATCTCCATTACAATATGGCACCTGGCAGATGTTCGAGGGGCGGGTCTGCAGCTGCTGATCAGACCACCAGCAAGGATAGGTCTGCTTTAGTTCCGGACACGTGGACAGTGCGTGATACCTATACTTTGCTTAAGATGCCCCTGTGCATGGTCCACCCATGCCTGCATGACCTTTTTGCTGATTGGCTCCCCTACTGCCCATGTCTTTTGTAAGCTTTATAAGGCTGCATACTTCTTCAATAAAGTGGTTCCTGCTTCCACAGAACTCACGGGTGCTTGTGGTGTGTTCATCACCCGTCGACCTTACCCTTCCCATTTGCCTTGTTGGGGTGTGCTTGCACTGCCCCTGCTGGTCAGGGGCTAGCATCAGGCTTGAGACCCCAACAAGTGGTGCCCAATGTGGGGCACGATGGACTCAAAAGAGTCCTAAAGAAGGACTGACTCTGGCCGAGAGAAGGACTGACTCTGGCTTAAGTGAAAGTACTGGCGGACATGGCTAAGCGAGGCTCTAGAGGTAAGGTATCCCTGAAAGGATGGGGCAATATCATGCTAAGTTTGAGGACCCAGTGTCTAAGGCACTGAGATACATACTAAAGACTCAAGGCTTATAGTCACACAAAAAATTTTGCACACCTAAGCTGGTTGATATGAAACAGACGGGCTGGGTGGCCTTTAATGAGGAATGTCAGAAGGCTCATAAATCCCCAGAGGCAGTTGAAACTCAGGTATAGCCTTCAGGTGTGGTGGCAAACCCTAAAGGCCTAGTGCTGTCTCAACCCACCATGCCTCCAATTACAGAGGGGACATTTGGCCTAGTACCACCCCTGTGGTCACCCCTTTAAGGGTATTTCCCTCCCTTGGATCACCCACTGCCATCTTGTAAACAGTGTACCTACCCAACCCCATGGCCTGCGCAGTCTTCCCTGTAAATGGGGGACCACAGCCTTTCTCTGCACTCTCTTCCAGTCAATGTGGCCTGCTGCACCCACACAGGCATGGCCATAACATAGGGTCAGATATTTAAAGGCAGCCAAGGAGATTTCTGAGAATGGCAAGATTCTGTGAACTTTGGACTCCACAATTTGGATCCCCAGCTTTCACATGTAGCTTTAAAGATGCCCTGATGCAGTCTCCGTACTGAAAAGGGTAGCTGCAAAGTTGTTCCAGAGAACTAAGGAGCTTCTAAATAAAAGCTCCGGTATTGGGAATTACTGATGACAGGATTCTATGGAATTTGGATTCCAAGATTTGTATTTCAAACTTTTGTGTACAGCTTTAAAGAGGCCCTGATGTAGACTTTGTACTGAAAAGGGTAACTACAAAAGTTGTTATGGAGTCCAGGATTTGTATTCTAAGCCTTGTGTTTGCTTAAAAGCCTCTGAAACAGACACTGTGTTGGACAGGGGAGCTGCAAAGGTGTTCCAAGGAATCAAGGAGTTTTTAACAAAAACTCCAACATCAGAAATTCCTGAGCAAGCCATTCATAAGAAGATCCTCTTCAGATCAGTTTCAGCTTAAATAAAAGGGACCTTACCAGGTGCTAGAGAACACGACTACCTCCGTGAAATTTGGATTAAACTTCTACCTCTTAAGTCTTCACAGGTGAATACGAAAGACATGCCTGACTGTTCCTTTAAGCCAATCAGAAACCTTAAGTCAAGATGTGTTCCCTGTCCTAAGCAATGGGCTCCTACACTGATAACCAGCCCTTCTCTGTGCTGCTATAGCTAACTTATCTGATGAGAGTTTGCACGTGTCTTGAAGGTTTCATGTTTTATTGGATTTGCCTGTCTTTAATGTTTGAGTGATTACCTTAAATCTGATCAGATCTAGCCCACAGCCTTGGTTAAAATGCTCAGGTTAAACATATCAAAAAACAAAATAAGATTATAAAAAAAACTTATAAAACAAAAAGGGGGAATCATACCCCCACAAGACCAGCTACTAATGGCCATGCTCATATTTTAAATTTTCCAAAACATCAGCCCTTGTCAGCCTTTCACAAACATTGGTCCCTCCAAGTATCCTACCTTTCAGTTAGGGTAAAATGGACAGACCCACTGACAGGATGCTGGCAAGGACCAGACCCACTGATAAGTGTTAGTAAAGGATTTGGATGTGTCTTCCCTCAGGGGAATTCTAATCCCATATGGGTACCCTGCCAAAGAAGGTCACCCAGGAGGACCCCCTCCTGAGGAGTGATTTTTCTTTTTCTCTTACAGGGATGAAAAGACCGTATTGGACTCTCTGTCTCATTGTGACTGGATCATCATGGTACATCAGGAGTGCTGCTTTTATGCTAATTGCTCCAGCATCATTAAGGACAAGATAAAGACCCTCCAAGAAGACCTTGAAGCTCTAGTTACCTGTGGTTGGGGCTTGGGGATGGCTTCCTTATCTCCTCCCCCTTGTGGGCCCCTTGGTCTCCATTGTCCTTGTAAATTTGTCCAAGATTGCATCACTGCAGTCCAGTTAATGGTGGTCCAACAACAATATGCCACTCTTTAAGAACCGGGTTATGCTGCTCTTCAAGCACCAGATTGGAAACCCTATATATCTGCCCATGGCCGCTGCCAAGATGTAGAGGTATAATACATCAGACTCTGAGTTGCTGAGGTGGTAGCCAATGATGGGTAAGATCCCCTTGGGGTAGCCCTTAACAGCTGGAGAAGTAGTCAAAGACAGGTAAGATCCCCAGAGGGGGACAATCTAAGGTAGACATGCTCCCTAAAAGGCTGATACCAGTCAGAGGGGACAACCTAAGACAGGCACCCTATCCGCTCAGTTCCTCTTCCTCTCTTTAATATAAAACAAAAAGGGGGAAATCTTGGGCATTGCTTAAAATCTCCATTACAATATGGCACCTGGCAGATGTTCGAGGGGCATGTCTGCAGCTGCTGATCAGACCACCAGCAGGGATAGGTCTGCTTTAGTTCTGGACACGTGGACAGTGCGTGATACCTATACTTTGCTTAAGATGCCCCTGTGCATGGTCCACCCATGCCTGCATGACCTTTTTGCTGATTGGCTCCCCTACTGCCCATGTCTTTTGTAAGCTTTATAAGGCTGCATACTTCTTCAATAAAGTGGTTCCTGCTTCCACAGAACTCACGGGTGCTTGTGGTGTGTTCATCACCCGTCGACCTTACCCTTCCCATTTGCCTTGTTGGGGTGTGCTTGCACTGCCCCTGCTGGTCAGGGGCTAGCATTGGGCTTGAGACTCTGACAGAATAGTCTATTTGAAAAACAGTGTAGATCAACTTTTTGAGCAGTCATATAAGGAGCCTTCTACCTGACAGCATCAGAACACATACACTTAAAAAAAAAGTTTATTTAGTTATTTGAAAGACAGAGTTGCAGAGAAAGAGAGTAAGAGATAAATTGATAGATCTTCCATCTGCTGGTTCACTAACCTAAAGGCCACAACAGTCAGGAATGAGTCAGGCGAAAGCAGGAGCTAGGCGCTTGTTCCAGGTCTCTGACAAGGATTCAGAGGCCAAGGAATTGAGGCATCTTCTGCTTTCCCATGTGCATTAGCGATGAGCTGGAATAGAAGTATCAGTGGCTTAATCTATAACACAACACCCATCCCAGATCACATGTTCTTAACCATTCTTCAGGTGGGATCACCTGTAGTTCAGAAAATTCAGTTTCAAATAGTTTTAGAAAATTGGAATTGTACCAAGCACATTCCCTAAGTGTAATGGAATAAAAATATAAATCAACACTAGAAGTACAAACTGGGCAAAATTTCACATGTTGGCTTTCAGGACTTTTTTTTTTTTTGACAGGCAGAGTTAGACAGTGACAGAGAGAGAGAAAGGTCTTTCCTCCTTTGGCTCACCCTCCAAATGGCTGCTATGTCCAGCACACTGCACCTACCCGAAGCCAGGAGCCAGGTGCTTCCTCCTGGTCTCCCATGCGGGTGCAGGGCCCAAGCACTTGGGCCATCCTCCACTGCCTTCGCAGCCCACAGCAGAGAGCTGGACCAGAGGAGGAGCAACCAGGACAGAATCTGGTGCCCCAACCGGGACTAGAACACAGGGTGCCGGTGCTTCAGGCAGAGGATTAGCCAAGTGAGCCGCAGCGCCGGCTTTCAGGGCTTTTTTAATCATATATTTTTTCTTTGAGAATCAGGGAGATTGTGCATCTGTGGGCTTTCTCCCCAAATTCCCACAATAGCTGGGGCTAGGCCAGGCAAAAGCTGGGAAGCAGGAACTCAGAGATTAAGATTGAGATAGCCAGAATCAGCCCTTAAGGCATTCAGATCTGGCTAAAAAGCCCATGAGAGTATTTCAGACATGGAAAGCCAAGACACTCTGGCAAAAAAAAAATGACCTAAATGAAAGATCTCTGAGTGAGATCCCAGAGGAAAGAATAGGTCATCAAAGAAGGAGGCATCTTTCTCTGAATGGAGGAGAGAACTTCTACTTTGACTATGGTCTTGTCTAAATAAGATCAGAGTTGGCGAAGTCAAGAGGCTTTCATAGCCTTGGCAATTCATGACAAGAGCCTAGGGTGATTACTGATGCCATAAATAAGAGTGTCAATTGTTAAATCAACAACAGGATTCACTGTGCACTTACTCCCCATGTAGGATCTCTGTCCTTAATGTGTTATTCGATGTGAATTAGTGGTATAATTAGTACTCAAACAGTACTTTATTCTTTGTGTTTCTGTGTGGCTGCAAACTGTTGAAATCTTTACTTAATATATGCTAAATTGATCTTCTGTATATAAAGATAATTGAAAATGAATCTCAATGTGAATGGGATGGGAGAGGGAGTAGGAGATGGGATGGTTGTGAGTGGAAAGGAGGTTATGGGGGGGGAAGCTGCTATAATCCAAGGTTGTGCTTTGGAAATTTATATTTATTAAAAGATAAAAAAATAAAAGAAGATGGCCCAAGCCCTTGTACCCCTGCGCCCACATGAGAGACCCGGAGGAGGCTCCTGGATCCTGGCTTCCCCATTGGCACAGTTCAGGCCATTGTGGCCAATTGGGGAATGAACCAGCAGGTAGAAGACCTCTCTCTCTCTGCCTCTGCCTTTGCCTCTGCCTCTACCTCTGCTTCTCTCTGTGTGTAACTCCAAGTTTCAAGTAACAGTTTCAAGTAAATAAATAAACCTTCAAAAAAAAAAAAAAAGATTGAGATAGCTCCCATGTTATCCACTGGTTCACTCTCCAACTACCTGTAATGGGGAGAAGACAGGACCAGAAACATAATCTTAGGCTCCTATATGGGTAGAAAGAATCCAATTAATTATGCTATTATCACTGTATTCCAGGGCTTGATTTTGTGTTAAATTGGAGTTAGGAGTCACAGCCAGATAGATAATTAAATCCAGGTTCTCCATTGTGGGAGTCAGGTGTCTTAATAATTTGGCTAAAAAATTAGAGGTATAAGAGTGCTTCTAAAACTCCAAAAATGGGAAACTACATGTGGCATAACAGGTAAAGCTGCCACCTGAGTTGCTGGCATCCCACTGGACATTGAATTGAGTCCTGGCTGCTCCCATGAAATTGAGATCTTAAAGAGAAATCAGAATGAAATCTTGGAAATGAACAATTCAATAGAACAGATAAAAATACAATGGAGAGCCTTAATAACAGAATCAGTTAAGCAAAGGAAAGAATATCTGATTTAGAATACAAAGCACAGGAAATTATAGTCAGACCAAACACAAGAAGAAGAAATTTAAAAAATAAAAAATAAAAAATAAAAAACACTGGTGGGAATCTATAGATCACTATCAAATGAACCAACATACAGGTTCTAGAAATTCCTGAAGGCATGGAAAGAGACGTAGGATTATAAGAACTTTTTAGTGAAATAGTAACAGAAAATTTTCCCCAATTTCAAGAATGAAAGGGACATCTAATTACAGGAAGCACATAGAACTAATAGATATGACCGGAAAAGATTGTCTTCAAGACACATTGTAATCAAACTCTCCACAATAAAACATTAAAAAAGATTCTAAAATGTGCACAAGAGAAATGCTAGATTACTTTCAGAGGATCTGAAATTAGACTCACAGCAGACTTCTCATAATTAACTCTACAGGCTAGTAGATAATGGTGAGAAATACTCAAAGTCATAAGAGAAAAAAAAACTGTCATCCCACAATACTGCACCCTGAAAAGCTCTCATTTATGAATGAAGGTGAAATAAAGACCTTCATGACAAACAGAAACTGAAAGAATTTGTGACCACCCATCCAACCCTGCAGAAGATACTTAAGGATGTGCTGCACACAGAAACACAAAAACATGGTCATCATTATGGAAGAAGTTAAGGGAAGAAATCTCCCAGTAAAGGCACAAAGGAAATCCAAGATGAAAAACTGGAATATTTTTGGAAAAAGGCAGGGCAAGTCTTTCCTTCTCAATAGTCACCTTGAATGAAAATTGCCTTAACTCTCCAGTTAAAAGGCACAGACTGGCTGAATGGATTAAAAATCAAAACCCATCTATTTGCTGCCTACAAGAAACAGCTATCACCAACAATGATGCACACAGACTGAAAGTGAAAGGATGGAAAAAGATATTCCATGACAACAGAAACCAAAAAGAGCTAGTGTAGTGTTGCTGTTGCTTTCTCAACAATGTTGCAGTGTATTCATTTCTGGGAGGAGCAGCGTGGTGGGGGCAAGAGATGTGGAGTCAGCACACAGATCCCGGGAGTCGGGTGAAAGCAGGCTTGAGGCAAGTAGCCTGCAGACTTGTTTATTACAGTTGGAATCACATCCTATATAGTCAAGACCAGCCAATCTGATCAAGGGGCAGTCTATGCTCCAACCAATCACAGCCTGTTGCCAGGCAGACTCCATTGCCAGGTGGGTTTCAAAGCCATTCCTGAGTAACGGACACTCGCTTGCCAGTGGCCACCTTGGCATGACCTTCTCATTCCACCACATTTCCCCCTTTTATTTTTGAGCAACGGGAGGCGTGATTCTTGGCCATAACATTGTTGACCCCATTTCCATGTGGTCTCCGTACACAGCTGTGCCTGTCTTAGGTTGTCCCCCAGAGGATCTTACCTGTCATTGACTAACCAGTGCTCAAATCGAGAGACCACAAGATTGCTTGCTCAGATAGGGGTAGGAATGAGGAATAATGGTTATCAGGAATGGCATGACCGCACACAGGCTGTGGGCCATTTGAGTGGCTGACCAGAGCTAGTGGGGTATAAAACAGTAATAGGTATGGCTATGGGCAGTTTCTCAGGGTAGGGTGATAGGGCAGGTGCGTCTGCTAACAAGGTGGAGTCTCAGTCTTGTTCAGCTGGTTTTGGTTGGCTGTCAGTGTGATTTTGAAGAAGGGCTGTTTCCCTTAGTAAATCGTATATCAGTCTAAGTTCTGCAGGTGTTAGGGGAAGGAAGGGCTTCAGCCAATTGATTTGGCCACATAGTTGCCGAAGTTCATTAAGTGAGTATTTATGCTTCACTTTTAGGTTTGGTCCTATTGGAGATATATGGGAGGAGATTTGATAACCCAAGAATTGAAAGGGAGGAAAATGTTGTACCTTTTCTGTGGCAATAGATAAACCCAGGAATTGTAAATTTCCTACTGTCTCACTTAGACAGGCATTTAGAGTTGCTGCATTCTTGTGAGCAAGTAAGATATCATCCACATAATGTATGACCAAGCACTGATCTTTAAGTGTGCTGGTTGCATGAGAAACTTCTCATTCCACCACAGTGTAGCCATCCTAATATCACACAAAATAGACTTTTAAACAAAAACTGTTTAAAGAGAAAAAAAGGGCACTATGTAATGATTAAGGGATCAATTCAACAGGAAGATGTAACTATTATAAATGTGTATTCATCTAGTTAAAGGGCACCTGGCTATTTAAAAGAAATGTTAAGGAAGCTAAAGGGAGACATAGAATCAAATACAATTGTAATGGTGTATTTCAATACCCCGCTTTGAGCAATGGACAAATCAACCAGACAGAATATCCCCAAGGAAACAGAATTAATCAACACTATAGACCAAATGGACCTAAGTGATATCTACAGAACTATTAATCCTACAGTTCCATAATAAACATTCTTCCCAGCAGTGCATGGAACCTCCTCTAGGACTGGCCACATGGTAGGTAATAAAACAAGTCTCAGCAAATTCAAAAAAATCAAAATCTCTCTGAATACAATGTAATGAACTGGAAATTAACAAATTAGGACTCTCCAGAACATATGTAAACATATGGAAACTGAACAACATGCTCTTGAATGAACAGTGGGTCATAAAAAAATCAAAAGATAAATAAAAGAATTTCTGGAAACAAATGAAGATGACAATACAACATATCAAAAGTTATGAGATACAGCAAAAACAGTGTTAAGAGGAAAGTTTATAGCAAATGGTGCCTACATCAAGAAATTGGAAAAGCACCAAATAAATGAGCTATCAATGCATCTCAAGAATTTAGAAAAACAACAGCAAACTAAACCCGAAACTAGTAGGAGAAAAGAAATAATTAAAATTGGAGAATAAATCGACAAAATAGAAGCAAAAAACAATGCAAAAGATT